CTATCTATCTATCTATCTATCTATCTATCTATCTATCTATCTATCTATCTATCTATCTATCTATCTATCTATCTATCTATCTATCTATCATCTACTCAGGATGGTGCAAACACTTTTTAAGTTTTGAATCTCTAATAAACGACATATCATACAAACAAATAGGACAACTTTACTGGTATAACAATAACAACAACAATAATAACAACAACCATACTACCAATAACAGGGCTGCCAACTTTTCACCAAACCCTGGGGTGAGATTTTGAAAGTTTAGACAGGAAATCCTGTCAGGGTTAGATGAGGATAGGTGCAGCTATAGGTCGGATGGTTTCAAAGGATTTAACTGAAACAAAGTGGCAAAATATGGAATTTTTATAGTACAGTAAAATGTTAGTAACAATAAGTGGTCTGTAGTTATGTGGAACATTTTTCTCACAATATCCATTATTTTATGGGCCCTACTAAAATACTTGCATCTTAAATATACTTTAAACTATGAATTTCACAACTTTGCTCATTAATTATTATCTGCATTTCAATTAAATTAAACAATGGGGAACAAATAAACTATTACTGGATTACTGGCACAGGAACCAGTGCAATGAAACCTATGCAAAATATATTGTGTATCAATATTTGGTAATAGGTCAAGCATTAAAAATCTAATTCTCATATTACATTTTTACAATTGACAATTATGACCTTCTAAGAGGCTGTAGATTCAATAAAAACTCACCATGATAGGAGACAGCACTTCTCTGGGTGTTTCAGTTTGGAAGGTGAGATGGAAATAAAGTTTTTAAACATATTCAATGTACCAAAATAAAGATAAACGAATAAGATAAGTAATAATAAAGGAAAAACATCCATGTGGTTTCTTCTCTATGAATCCTTGATACATGAGGTTTTTCTGCACATCCTCTCTGAATGTGGTTGGTCTTTTCTTTGGTTGCTGATCTTTTGAAATATAAAATAAAAGTTTGAGAGGGAAACCTGGAAGTTTAAGAATTAAAATATTTGTGTCGGTTCAATTACTCCTAAATTCCAACGGGAGATTATTAAACTAGACTGAGTTGAGTTTTAATGTCTGTCATTTTTTTTTAGTGTGAGAAATTAGGAATATGGAGTCTGAGAGTTGAAAGCACTGGTTATGGACTTATATTCTGAAAAATAGAACACAATTTCCGGTTACCTGGCGTTGCTTCTTCGGCTCTTGACGTCAGAGACGCTCGAGCTGAGGATGTCTGGGCGTGTATTTCTGGGTGGAGGTGTAGCTCTTCCCACTGTGAATGACTTGAAAGAAGACAAACAAAACAAATGAAAGAAGAAACAGTCCGACGTAAGCAGCGAGCGGTTCTCACGGGAAGCCGAAGGAATACTTTGCTCCTTTAAACTCTTCAAACCCTCTCCCTGCGTTCACCTGTATGACGGCGTGAAGAAACGAGGTACAGAAAGCAAACTTTATCCCTGCAGTGATCTTGAATGAGAAACGGAGACAGGTGCTCTTCTTTGCTGCTATTCGGCTTAAATCCGGTTATAACTGTGTTATTTCAATTAACTGTAAAAAAAGAAAAATTACATCGATTTTCTCACGTTTTGGAGGACACTGGTTCAACGACTGCTAAGTCACAGCTTTTATCTGTAACTTATTAATAAACTTTAACAAGAAAGCAACAATGCAAATTGAGTCAAATTTTAATACCAACTATAATATCGCGATATTTGAGGCTTGAACCCTGAAAAGCAAAGCTCTGGCAGAGAAGTGAAGCTAAAACAACTCAGCATGAAAACTAAAGCAGTCAGAGCAGCACAGCCTTGGCAGAGTGACAGGCAGCAAAGACAAACAGAGATAAAGCAACCTAAAGGCCTGTGAGTGAGAGAGAGGCAGCTGCAGGGGGGCTTTCCACTGAGAAATCCATTAAATCAACTCTACAGCTGCTTTTATCTGCTGGACAGAGTTTGTTGCCTGGGAGTTGAAGTGTTAGGAAACCTAATGAGGTGGGAGAAACAAAGAGGGCACATTATTCTTATTTACCCCCAGTGTGTGGTATGTTTAGGCTTTCTACCAGGCTGATCCCATTACACAATATAGTGCACACCCAAAGTGCTGTTTTGTGTTCCAGCCACATAATGCCTAATATGACAAGCAGGAACTCCCTCAGTGCACATGTACACTATTGTTTGGGGTCAAAACAGCAGGTGTGACCCAGAGTGTTTTTTTTGTTTTGTTTTTTGCAGATGTTGAAAAGTTTCAATGTAGCGTAAACATGGATTTATTTGGTGCTGTGGTAGGGTGACCAGATTTGAGTTTCTGAAAAGGATACTTTTTTTTTTGGTGGGGGGGAGGTTGCTGAGCCACTGACTGGTCCAGGTCCCGAGCCAGGTGGGGACGGAGCGACCGAACCCGACCCGGTGACGGTATGCTTCCCCCCACCTGCCTTACCATGGTAAGGCAATAATATACAAAGGCTTTAAAGGGCATAAAAATGAGTGTGCCCCATCTGGCTAAAGTAATAGAACAATTTGACATAGATTAGGAGTCAGTGGGTCACATCACCTGCAAGCTATTGAAGAAAAGTCCCAACGTTTGTCTTTAGAAATATCCTAAAAACTGAAAATAGCTTCAAATTGCATAAAAGCAAATGTACTCATATATGTTATCTATTGGCATGATTTTTATATTAGCTTCGTCTTAGCTGGTTTCACAAGAGTGCTTGGTTAAAAGATTTGTTGATGGTCCCTAATTGCACCACCGCGTGTGGGAGGAGGAAGCATCTGAGAGACGCTGGCTAACATCGGAGTCCCTCAGTCGGATCAACCGTGAGCTAAATCCAGCTGATGCCGCAGAGTTTGAATATCCAATAACCAACTTCATCGCGGTGCTGACGGCTCGGTTCTGCTGCACTGTAGTCGACCAAAATCCCAGACAATTTTGAAATCCCCCCTGACAATTGTTTAGGTATGAAAAGTAGGACATGTCCGGTAAAAAGAGGAAGTCTGGTCACCCTATGCTGCATTGTGTAATAGAATCTGAAATATTACAGTTATCTTACAAATATTCTTTATTTTTGTCATGGTCCTGTTCTGTTTAGTTTTCTTTGAGTTTTTAGTTTCACGTTGAATCATGTTTTTCTTTTATTTTCTAGTTTTATTGTGTTTTTTGTTTGTATTGCGGTTCTTAGGTTTTTCTTTGCTTGCCCTCTGTTGCCCTCTTGTGTTGGTCTCCTTTTCCCTAGCTCCTTTCTGGAAGCCTCTGTTCACACCTGCTCCCAATTAGCTCGTTAACCCTCTCTTCAGCCATAAATACTCTCCCTGTGCAGTTCCTTAGTGCTGGTTCCTCATCTGACCCTCCTCCTACTTGTTTGCCCTGATTTCTGGTTTGTTTTACATTTTTAGGTTGGATTCCTGCCTTTGTTACCTGTGAACACTCAATTAAAACTGCAAGAACTCACCTCTGCCTCCCTTCCTCTGCATTTGGGTCCTCAAGTCTTAACCAAACCCTGACAGTTTTTTTTTTCTCATAGCGTGTTTAAATCTGATCACCCTTTTGACCATCCCATGGCGGTTTAGGTGTCAAATTAGCGATCTCTGTGCTGTGGGAAGAGGTAGATGTTCTGTATTTTCTACAAGCTTCATATGATGACTCATCTGGACTGCCTGCTCCGGTTTCTGACAGTGACTATTGTGTAACAATGTTGAGTTTCTCCAACTTACTTTACGTGCAAATCTCAACCAATCTCAGGTAGAAATCAATGTTTACCTGCTGCTAGAGCTGCACAACATAAAGATCCACATCTTCATATCCCCATGAGTGATGACTGACAGCTTGTTTTCAATGTTTGCAGGCATCAGTGCAAATTATCTGCACCTTACTGATATATTTTGAAAGTCAGAGCAACTTCCACTAACTTGGAAGCCTATATCAGGTATGGATTTTACAGCTTGTCATGTAAACTCATGAAGTATTGTAGGGCTGAAACAAACAGAATAATTGTGATTAATCCATTATTCAAATACTCACTTTTAGCTGACAGAGAAACCCATTAATGCTACATTCAGACCGCAAGCAGCAGAGGGACCAGAAGGAGGTTTGCAAGCAAAGTCTATGGTTGACGCTAATCAAGGCACAGCAAAAGGTCCTGCAATGCTTCTTTTTTTTTAGCAGCAGGAGCAGCGGCCCTTGCGCTTTTGAACATCTGACGTGTGGGACGCGCTGCAGAAGTAGCAGATGCTGGAGTTGGAAAACTTGAACTTTTGCTGCTCGATGCGCCACATCAACCAATCAGAGAAGCTGGTCTGGGAGCTGGCAGGGAGACAGACACAGCACTGCTGATCACTATAATCAATCTCTGAAACAGTTTATTAGGACCTTAATTAAATTAAAATGGCGAAACCTGCCGGCAAAATATGTGCGATTTTATTATACTGGTGCCTGCAGTTTGCATTACTTACATGAAAAAAACACCTTTCATCCGCCATGAACAGTAGCAGAAAACCACAAAGAGGCGACCGGGCCAGAGGCTCTTCCAGTGATAGAGCACAGCTGGTATGTGGGGGTCTGAGCTGCTCTGACAGCCAATTAATATTTGAAGGCAGGATCTTAATCTTGATAAACTGACTACTGACTAGTTTTCAGGTGGACTTTCTCACTTATCAAAACATATTAAAACTACTTTTTACCCACTGATAACAGCAAATATAGCAAAGCCGCTCTCTGCCATGAACACAGAAGCAGCATAAGCATCAGAAGCATCTGGATGCACTTTACTGGACGCGCTTCAAGAGTATCAAAGATGTCTGATCGTAATGTAAACAAGCATCAAAAATAAAGCAGCAGAAGCTTTGTTGCTGCTTCCAGCACCTGCTGTCTGAACGTAGCATTAGAGCAGTAAGTTTACAAAGATTGTAAAAAAAATATATATAAACATTTTGGTTTTTTTTTTCTGTCAGTATGCTATTCAGAACACCTCATGTGGAAAAGGTTTAGTTTCGCCTGGTTTAATTTGTAAAAAGTCTCCTTCAAGGAACCTTTTGCTATCGGAGGATTATCGGAAAAATAATCAATAGATTAATCAATTTGCAAAATGATCGTTAGTTTCAGCCCTAAAATATTGCAGTAGCAACTTTGTGACAGTGAATAAAATACAGGTTCATTACAACCAACATAATCATTCCCATATTTGATTAAAGTGCTGCTATTGTAATTTTTTCAAATAATATTTGGAATATAATATTTTGATATTGATAATATATTTATTTTGATTACCTTTCATAGCAAATTAGTTAGTTCTTTGTTACAGCTAGGCCAAACTCAGCTCTCATTTTTGTTTTGCGTTCATTCCGCTGGTGATTCGTGATTTATGCCAGGTTAGTATCTCTGTACATCCTCGGGTTTGCAGCTGACACCAGGAGGTTGTGGGTCACAATGGTCTACAGCAGGCATTCCCAAAGTCTGTCCTCGAAGGCCGCTGTCGTGCAGGTTTTAGAGGTTTCCCTGCTCCAGCACAGCTGATTTACATTGACAGTTGATTAACAGGCTTTTGCTGATATGCAATCATCAGAATCAGCTGTGCTAAAGCGGCGAAACCTCTAAAACCTGCAGGACAGCGGCCCTCGAGGACAGACTTTGGGGATGCCTGGTCTACAGGGTAAACATTTGATAGTTGAATATATTTAACAACATTAAATCATTTCACAGAATTAAAAAAACAGTTTATATCAAAGAACGTTAAACCCTTTAAAGATATTAGATTATTCTAACCAAAGAAAAACAGCACATCAGCTGCAGATGGCTGTTCTTTAACAAAATGGAACTCCACATAGACTTAGACAGATTTTATTTGTCATTTTGTTTACACAAGTGTAAAACAAAATGAAACTTCGTATGGAACAGCTCTCTGGACAATTTCATCTTTTTTAAAAGTGCAGCCTTTAAAAATAGTAAAAATAAATAGATAAATATATAAAAACAGTAATATAAACATATGACTGTGAATTTACAGTTCTAAACAGCAGCTTAATTAGGAAAGCATCGTAATGGAAGAGTAGGCTCATATTATCACAGTAAACTAACTCCACTTGATCAAATTTTTAAATATATGGATTTTACTTATTTTTTTTTATATATCAGGGAACCAAATGGGGAAAAAAAGAAACAATCCCCAGAGTTGTTTTTTTGCCGTCTTTATATTACAGTTACCGCCACAATAAAAAAAAAAGTATTTGGTCCGCTATCTAAAGGTCACAGCCTTTAGATACAAACTGATCAGAGGATACGGATCTGTTCCTATTCTTCTTAAAGATGGGGTGAGTGTAAAAAAAAAAAAAAAAAAAAAAAAAAAGGACATCCTACTTTCTTTGGACCCATTCATTTTCAATTATAGCAAAATATCTTTTTTTTTTTAACCAGTTATAGTTTTTCAGTAACCATTACTTTTCTTGTTTCCACCTTTCACAAACCATTCAATAATAAGCCTATTTTACATGTTAGGATATAAAAGGCGTTCTACCATGACATGGATTTGCTGTTCCAAGGTAGAAATAATGTTGTCAGTTGATGAAACGAAAAGATTGCTTCTCACCTTATTTTTTTCGAGTAAATAAACATCTGATAATATCTGTTGTTTACTAGATGTAGAGGTTAATAATAAGCCAGGAATCCTGCTTTCACACACATCCTCCACTAGTGACTATCTATGAGGAAGATGCTTATTGTTTTCTTTGGAAGATAAAGTTTCCAGTAAGAAGTTGTTTTCTTACTACTTTAAAAACAACTTAACAGCTTACTGAAACCGAAGGAGAATGTAAAGCAAAAGTGAGACTAGTGTTGAACCTGGGCACTGAGACAGTTCGGTGTTTGTTTAGTGAGTGATTGACGTCTTTTACTTGATTCCTTTCGGAGGAAATGTGCTTTAAAAAAATCCAGACAGACCAGCCTCATTCTCTTAGTTGCAACATAACCAGCTCGTTTTGTTTGGCATAATGAAGATTTCCAGTGTAATACAATTGCTTGTGACGCTTTCATTATTTAAGAATTAGAAGCACGACTTCATTGTGTTTAATTTGGATTCTGTATAATAGATCAGTATAAAGTAGAGACAAACTGTCAAGTGGAAGGTAAGTGATACATGATTTTGAATGGAAATTGGAAATGTGCATTTATATTGCACTGGTGCCTGGCAGCAGGAAGGTGCTGGGGTCTTTCTAATTGGTCTCTCTTGATTGGTCTTCGGTGTGAAGGTGCACATGGATGGTTGCTTGTTAAGTGTGTCTCTCTGTTACCCTGTGATTACCGGCTGACCTGTCCAGGATGTATACAGAGCTACTGTAAGAAAACCCATTAAGTGAATGGAAGAAAATTGGATTTGAATGATTATGCATTAAACATCCCACAGAACCATTCAGTTGATTGTGTAAAAATACAGAGAATATTTGACTGATGATGGTTAGTCTGCCCGTAAACTGACAGACTATGCAAGAGAGGAGCTTGAGAAAAAGACAGCTCAAGGGGAAGAATCTGTTTACACAGCAGTTAATTTTGCATGCTGCAAATGTGGCTTTTATGGAAGAGTCGCCATAAAAAAATCCTCTTGTAGTTTGGCACATTAGGTATAGCGGACATAGCGAACATTTGGAAGCAGGTGGTCTGGCTCCAATTTCCTGGTCCATATACAGAGTGCTTTGTCTAGTAACAAACTAATGCAGCCTGTCACCCTTTAAACACGATTCCACTGGTTAAACATGGTGGGGATGCTTGTCTTCCCCAGGGACAGGGAGTCTGGTCAGGTGTATTGGAAATATGGATAGAGCTAAATACAGGGACATAATTTCTATTCAATTCGGTTCAGTGTATTTATTTTGTGCCAATTCAGAACATGTCAACTCAATGCTCTTTACAGAGAAAATGTAGTCAAACTGGTTAAAGGTTTCTATAAAGGAAAACCAGCTGATTGTATCCAGGCATTGAATTCCAAGATATGCTCCTCCTGAATGAACTTGGGGTGGCAATTTTAATGTCCATTTTGTAATTGACTCTTCAGTAATCCCTCACACCAAGCATGCAGATAGCGAATGCAGAGAGGAATATCTCTTTTTAGAGAAAAACAATTTCCAGCAGCATCTGGCTCAGTGTGAGTGCCCTTATGCCAAGGCTGAGGTTCCTGGAGATAAAAGCAGACATACGAAAAGAAGCAGTTATACCAAAGGTAACTGTTAAATAGATCCACAGGTGGCCCAGTCCAGGCAAGACGCAGTTAGGCAGACAAGCTTTGAGCCAGTTGTCATGTCAGAGGATGAAATGGAGCTCATATAGTTGGTCACAGTGAAAGAACCATTACTGCACTGAAAAACAGGCCAAACTCCACCATTTATAAACAAGGATTTTGATGGCAGTTGCCCAGCTGCTTGGTCTCTCCAAAATGGTGTCATAGCTGAAGAGGAACAGACCAGATGAAGCTAATATGAGAAGAAAAATCAGATAAAACATAAAGTTATGTGTAGTACTAACAAATACTGTAGAATGGGAGAATAGAGATGTAGCAGAAGGATGAAAAGTGATCCCTATGTCCTCCAGCAGCCTAAACCTATAACAGAGTAAATAAAGAAAATATCGCAGGATAACTTAACTATTTTGGATGAGGTATGTGAAGGGTAGACCCAAATTTCTTAAACAGTTTGAAAATGTTCCTGTCATTTACATTTACTCCCAACTTTAGTTGGGATTTTATCAAAAATGTTTAAAAGTTCTGTATGTGTGAAGACCTGATCAAGGCACTGTGTGGATTACTCTAAAGTAACTCTTCTTCTCTCCTTTTCTTTGTTAGGCACTAAGCTATGGAGAGCACCGTTGAGGCCTCCCAGAGTGGAGGCCTGCCTAGAAAAAAGCCAGCTCTGCCCCCAAAACCCAGTCTCGCCCCCAAGCCTTTCTCTCTGCAAAATAACAGCACAATTCGCTCCTTCAGTGCTCCAAAGGCTGCTCCCAAAGCTGCAACTACACCCAAGTCACAAAAACCTCAGGCCCAAAAACCAGAGACAAAAAGTCACCCATCCACAGCTGTGACCACTCCTGCTAAGAAACTGCCTCAACCTACTTCAGCCTCAGCTCCCAAAGCTCCATCTGCAAAAGTGCCACCTAAATCTAAACCAGAGGAAACAAAAACAAGTGCTGCACCTCCACAGAAAGAGAATGGTCTTGGTTCTGAGACAGGTGCACTGAATCCAGACACTAAAGCAGCTCCGCCTAAAGAGGAACCCAAGTCACCAACAGTCCAGAAAGACAGTGTCATCCAAACAAACCACCAAAAACCCAAAGAGGCTGTTGCTGCTAATGTGGAGAAGAACAATGGAGAGGAACCACAGAGTGATACTCCAGTTTCTTTTGACCAGAAGATGGTGGAGACGAGCAATAACAGTTCTGGAGCAAACAGTCCAGTATGCCAGCAGGGAAGCACACGGAAGCGTCTCCCTAAAGAGCTCACCTCAAAGTTTGAGTCAGGTGGGGTCCCTAAGCCTCCCCAACCTATGAAAGCCATTCCTAAACCTATTGCCAAAGATGAGCCTTATAAACCAGAATCCTCTGAAACACAACACAGTCAGACAACACCAGAGCCTCCGGTCAGAGAGAGTGATCCCGATGCACCAAAGGAGGATTTTACTGGTGGAAACAGCATTAAAAAGAGAATCAGTCTCTTGTTTGAGTCTGTGTCAAAGCCAGAGGTCACAACCAAAAGAGATGAGCCAGAAATTCCTAATGGGACCCAAGTTGTGAAGAAGCAGATCAAAAACTGGGTGGCAGAAACAGGTCCGGAGGATCAGAAGGTTGAAAAAAAGAGTACGCCTACAGCTAGAGCTCGCTCCAAGAGGTGAGTACGGTCTTCTGTTCTCACTGCACTTATAGGTTTGGGTGCAAGACTAGACATGAATTAAAGGAAAATAAACTTTTCCTGCGGGGGCAATCAAGCAGGAAGTTTATTTCAGTGTTGACGTATAAAGGGTGATTAACTGCCATAAGTCACTTAAACTATGAACACCATCACTGTTTAACTCGAAGTGTTTGATTTATGATCATCTTTTAAAGCCAGAAATCAGACAGAATTCATTAACCAATTGAATAAATCTGAATACATTTCAATTCTAATATATATTTTCTATAGCTTAGAGTTTAAGCAAACTTTATATTTTTGAAGGAATCCATACCCTGTTGTTAACCATTAGTTCTCTTAAATGAATTATTCAGTGTTTTTTTGTATTTTGTTGCTGTGAATACCTTGAGAAGAGTGCAAGTCTGGAACTGTTTCTGTCTTGAGAGTTTAGGAATTTATTCTCCTTCAGCAGGGATATTTTAGGACATTGGAAAGGGTTTTCTCACTTGGCAGTAGCTTGCTCTATCCTCAATGTCTCCCAGTATCTGTCATGAGTTTATAAAGGTTAGATAGGTATAAGTTAATATGTCAGGACATGGTGCAATTTAAGGCATTACATCTACAAATTAAATTTCAAGTCCAAACAAGGAGGCAGCTAGAAAAATGTTAGGTAGTTTGATGTAATACTCTGTATTTTCTGTCAAATATTTATACTTCTATGATATCTGGAGGGCAATGTGAAGGTTGGTGTGACTGTTTGTACTTGTTCTTGCAACTGAGCGAGAACATCCGTGTTTTTATTACGTTCTAAGTACATGCCTAATCTTAGCATATACCTAGTTCACACTCCTCTGATCACACTTCAGTTCAAAACCTAATCACTAGCCCCTAAAAAACTGAGGACAAAAAAAGGGCAGTACAAAAAAATCTCGTAAAATATGAAAATTAGAGTGTGTGTACCTCCCCTGATTGTAGGGTGTGTCCCCAGCTTTAGCCCCTTAAACCTTAGTAAATTTCTCCACTGTGAGATCAATAAAGTCAATCAATCAGTCAATTAATCAATCTGGAGGATCTTAAAAATAAGGAGGTTTCCCAGAGATAGATTCCACATTGAGTTTTGTTCCAACTTTTTTTTTCAGTTTCAACCAGGAACTCCCAAATTGTTTTCGGTCGTCCTTTGCTCCTATAGCTCCCACAGAAATTGGTCCAGATATTATATTAAGTCATGGAGTTCCCAATGTTTATCCCGATGTGTGAGCTGTTATCTTTTATCCAAGCATTCCCTCTAAATGCCATGACCTTCGGCAGTTATTTATTAATGATTGTGTAATTAAACTCTTTCCTGATGTTCTGCTTCCATCATGCCATTTGTATCTTTTGGTCTCAGATTAGGTAACCATAGAGATAGAGAAGTACATCATTAAGTCCTTATATGGAGGCATTGTTCTACCTTCATTTACTGTTTTAGGGATGGCCGTTTTCTTTGTTGAAGAAAAAAGTCTAGACACTCAAATAAAGAGGCTTCAGTCTTATTATTGTCTAAATAATTACACCATTCAACTCATCTCCACAATAGGGGACCACCATTTTGAAAAAAAAAAAAAAAAAAGGTTTTAATCATGTATATCATGCATCAGATAAAGCATCAAGTGGGAAACTCGCATGTAAAACCCAGATTGCTGCTTCAAGTACCTTTTCATGCCTTTTGGTCTGACCACCTTTTTTCAGGTGTTCATTCAGTGTTGAATTAATGATTTTTAAAAATATGTTTTTCTATGTCTGTCTAGACAATATGTCTTTGTCTTTTCCAAAAGTCTAAAAGAACATTAAACCCATGTGAAGTTGGCATTTTAAAGACTACTGGAAGTCACAAATTTTTAGGTAGAAAAAGTGGGAACCTTAAAAATCGTCCCAAAACTTCATAGCTTCACAGTTTTTAAAAGTAGACAATTGAAGGCAGATCCTGGGAAGATTTAAATCAGTTCAAGATTGCCCCAACTCTATGCTTAATAAAACTGCTTTGATGCATCCTAGGTTTTTTTTTTTTTTATTTTGTAGGATTTTAGTCTGTAGCTGTTCCACATATGTTGACTTAAAAGCCATTTTCCTAAAGCTTCTCAAACTGTTGGACAAAAAATAAAAGCAGTATTTTCTTCAGGTTCCCTCTTTCATCCTCATCCTGCCTCCTAGCTCATCCTAAAAGGGAAATTAACCAGAGTGTTATTCAGACCGCTCCCTAATATCAATTATCTTTAGTGCAAACTCCCAATAGTGTTTATCAAAGATCAGCCTAACTCGTGCTCTCAGTTTCTCTTGAACAAGTGGTTATATACCAATCATGTGATTAAGCAGAATTACACATTTTTGAAATTAGTGACCTATTTAGGAGATTAAGAGCTAATTTCCTAACAGGAAAGCATGTAATCTTTGCAATACTAACTGTATACCCAGAGAAGATAACACATCTATGAACAAAAGAAACAATGGCAGCACAGGCTTTTATTAGACAAGCAGCAAAAAGCGTTAACTCAAACTCTGTACGGTTTTTTGAAATGCTTTTAAAACAAATAATTTGAAAGTGGCTCTCTCTGTCCCCTTTGGCCTCTGTCCCTAAGACTTGTGCCATCACAGGACTTAATGACAAGTCTTTTGCTTTGACGTCTTTGGTCATGAAATCCTTTGAATGCCTGATGTTGAAGCATCTGAAGGATTTTACAGGCCTGTCGCTGGACCGCCTGAAGTTTGCATACCATGCAAACAGGGCAGCAGTCAATCTGAGCCAACACTTCATCCTGCACCATCTCCACTACCCAGGAACATAAGCCTGGATTCTGTTTGTCGACCTCAAATCAACCTTCGTTGCCATCATCTCAGAAATCCTCCACTACAGGCTCATCGAGCTTATAGTGCCAGCATCCATCTGTTAGTGGATCACCATCTTTCTGACTGACCAGAAGCAGTGAGTGAAGCAGGGGAGCAACATCACCCGTACAAAAACAAACAAGACTTGAGCCCAATTCATTGATTCAACTCATTGACGCTAATGCAATCCCTCACACTAAGCATACTTGTAGCGACAGTGGAAAGGAAAAACTCCCTTTTAACAGGAAGAAAGCTCCAGCAGAACCAGGTTCAGTGTGAGCCACCATCTGCCAGGGCTGACTGGGGTTAAAGAGACAGAAGCAGAGATAGCAGAAAAAGCAGCTGTAAAAGCAGCCCCATCCAGGAAACACAGCCAGGCATACAAGCTCCAACCAACTCCCATGTCTGAGGATGAAGAAAGCACATCCAGCCAGTCACAGTCAGAGAAACAGGACTACACTAAAAAATGGGCTGATCTCCAACATCTATGAACAAAGGTGTTGATGGCAGCAGTACAGCTGATATTTCTCTCTAGGATGGATTCACAGCCAAACAGGAACAGACCAGATGAAGCTACTATGAGAAAAAGCAGAGAGAGCATAACAATCGAGATTAAACTAACAGATTCTGCAGAGTGAGAGAATAGAGATAGAGTAAAGCAGAATGATGACATAGGGGTCCCTATGTCCTCCAGAAGTCTAAGCCTATAGCAGCATAACTATAGAGATAGCACAAAACAGAGGATCTTAAGGACTGTTTTTACCCATGGCCTGTACCAACACAGATCAAACATCTCTGCCAGTGCTACACATACTGGCTGTTCACTCTTATCTCCAGGGTAGCACTGCAGAGTGCTCATGTCAAAAGTAAACAGACAGAAAGATTGTTTGTTTCCCCATGCTGTCTGTTGAACACAATGAAAACCTCTCAGCCAGACTTGTCTCTGCTAGAACAATTGTGGCTTTTGCACTTTATAACCTGCCTACTACTTTTCACTCATTAGAATAAAAGCACATCTGTACATACATGCCACCATCCTGTTTTTACCCTCTTGTTACCCTCTTGCATTGTAGTTGTTTTGTTCTACTAACTGTGATGTGAATAATAAAAAATTGAATTATTTATTTGGGCACACTATTACTCTAAAATCCTGCTTCAGAAAACTGTCCACCAGACTCTTAGGTCCATTTTAGATTCACTGCCATCCCTGTGTGCACTGTTTATCATACACTTCCATCAGACCTTTATCTCCACCCCATTTTTCATGTATTTTTCAAATTAGGTCACTTCTTTCCAGCTCCTTGTGGCCTCCATCCAAACCCAATTTACTCACCCGATTACTTTAGGAATATCTTTTTTTACCCCCCATCATGTTGTATATCTTCAGGAGTGGGAGATTCGTGGTCTGGAGGATTCTTGGGTTCCAGGTTCCTTCATCTACTTTCTACATCTGGTACTTTCCCAGACGATACATCAGAGTCTGTTTCTTGCATCTTCCTTTGGAAGGAACATTAAGGAAACTATGATCATCATGCACTGCTACTGCCACATTTTGATTTCAGCCTCTGTTGGTATACTCACCTTTCCTTCTTGGAACACCACTTTCATTTCCCCTACACCATCCCAACCATTTAATCCACCTCATCTCTACCATATGATAACAAATTACCTCTCCTCCTCTGTACCATCCTGGAATTTCTCCTAAGGATCCAGTTGAACCATTTATTTGTTCATTTTTATAAAGAATTGTTCAAACTTCCCTTTAGCAGATATGATTATTGGCTTTACAAGAGTCTTTACAAGTTACACCACAACTTCAGATGTTATCCTGTAAGATGTATGAAGAATATTGCTCACAGTAAGCACAAAAGGAAGTTTAACCAATTGAATAGCATATTTTGGACTAAAAACTCTAGTTTATGGATATCCAAGGTTAAAGCAAAATAGAGCTTATGTTTTTAAAGGAATAGCATACATTTTCCAGGCAATCATCTTTAGCATCTTTGTTGAATGATCTAACATTTGAACCTGTGTTTCTTTTTTATTGTGTTACTAAACTATTTGTTGAGCCGCTTTTAACTTCCTTCATTCTTCTAAGGTTTCAGGTAAAACAGGAACAAGTTATGCAGCTTTCTGTAAAGATTCAAAGATGTTTTGTGTTTAGTCACAGATCAGACCAAACATAAAGTGAAAGCTTTCATGCACAACTGATATAGTTCTGGTGATAGGTTTACATTTCTCCAGGAGAGATTTGAATAATTTTTACAATTTTACAGAATGGTGAAATTGTCTTGTTTTTGGAGAACAGGGCTTAAAGCATGGAAATGGACCTGGCATGGAATGTCAGTCAAACAAAGAATCTAGCATAGAACAATATGAACAAGTGATCTTACTCACCTAGAGATGGTAGAAAAATAGCAAGTAGATAGGAAAAGGGGCTGCCGCTGACGTAAGGAGGAAGACAGAGTAGCTCAAGGAGGGAGTCTAATTAGTTAGGGTAAAAAAATAAAGAACAAAACACAAACTTGCACTGAGAAGGAAATCATTAATAGGGAAATGGATAGAAAATCTAAAAAGCATGATAAAAATATTTTTTTTTTAAATACACGTTAAAAGATAATCAAACAACTCAGGGTCATTACCGGTGCTCCAGACTGAGTTAATCATACTTTTTTATCCCCAGTATTACATCAGACGTTCCCATGAATCATTACCTCTGCAGGCTAAACATACTCTCAGTGTGATACTCGCACCATAGTTATTAGTCCTAGATGGACATCTTGTAAATTTAGTCTTTCAGTGCAGGGTACATCTGTTCCTGGTTGGAAATTTACAAAGTCATTCCTCGCTGGAAACCTAAAATCAAAATACTTCCTCAGTGTGGTGATACAGCTCAGTGTTTGTCTTTTACGACTCTAAAATCCTCTCTTTACATTTAGTATCTGACCTGCAAATATTACCAGAGTTCACTTGATGCTTTTGGGAACAGGAATTTCTGTTTTGGTTCTTATTCTCTCAGTTCATGTTGTTGTTAACATTTGTTCATATTAGAACTTGCTTTAAGTCATTTACTCAAATATTAGCAGGATTTTAGGCATATCTTTAATCCTGGATGTATTAATCTTTCAGGAATTACTGAAAAACACCTGATTTTTTATTTTTATTTTTTTCTCAAGTCTTGAAGAAATAAATCGGTATTCAACCTGAAAAAAGAACAGCTTTGATTTATGCTTGAAAGGGAAAAGTTAAGTTTTTCTCTCTTTGTAATTAGAATAAAATTACAAACACTGTATGCTATCAGTTTAAATAATTTACTGGGTGATTTTCGAAGTATTAGAAGTATTTCTTTTTTTAAATCTGCTTTTTATTATGCTTTTTAGAAGTTACAGTTTTTTTCACAACTTTTTGAACCCATTAAAAAAAAACATTTATTTCTATAAAGCTGTTAAAACAAAACATTTTTTAAATAAAGTTTTTGTAACCTTTTGTAAGGAATGGATTTCGTTGTATAATTCATCATCACTTTGAAGAACTCAACTTTACCCAAAGCCAGCCATTAGTGTCTGATTATTCATCCAGCATTTGGAATGATACATTATTTATCTAAATTACACTATTATTATTATTATTATTATCTTGGTATACCTTTGCCCTCTCCTCTTCCTCGTACGCTCTTGCCTTTGTATTTTGTATCTGTTGTTTTCTTGAATCTCCAACCGACATGTTTGCACCATAAACTGGTTATTGTTTGTTGTCACATCAATAGACATAAATGACAATCATAAGTGACAATTAGTGTTTTCAATTTGTGACCTTTTGTTTGTTAGTTTGTCTGTAGGTCAGTTTTGTGTGGTTCAACATATATTTCATAGGTGCTTCATGGCCAAAAAAAAAAGAGTTAGCAGAATTTTTACAGAAAATGTTTTAATTTCTCTTTGAATAGATAAAAGGATTCTGGTTTTGCCCAAAAAGATCTTAATCCAGTAAAAGTGGATTAACCCACCTTTGGAAATTTGGTGCAGTGAATCGAGTTGAGTGTTTAAGCAATACTAAAAAATAATTAGTTCACTAAGCTAATTTCATTATCTACCATGATTATTTCTTAAGCTGTTTATTTCCACAACAAATGAACAAAATATGTGTCTTCTGCAGCTTTGAACGTGAAGCTGAGAAATTGCCTGAAAAACCAGAAGTGGAGGTTTGTGCAGAAGAAGAGACGCCCACCCAGTCGACAGTTTCTGCATCTTCAGAGAGTCAAACTGAACCACAAAAGGAGTCGAGAACGGACAATAAATCCTTAGAAAATGCAACCGATGCAGCATCAGTGACTGACAAACCAAAGGAAGATGATGTCGGGCTGCAGAAGAACCATGTTGCTGCTGCTGATAAAAAGGACTTGACCTCTGACAGTGCGCTGAAGAAGAAGAAGAAAGCCAAACGCCGCTCTGTTCGCTTTGGAACTGTGGTGGCAGATGACGGTGGACCTCCAGTGATGCTGAGTCCAGACCCTGAATCCAGTGAAGATGAAAAGCAAAGCAAGGATGCTGAGGTTGAAAGCAAGAAGGAAGAGGAGGCCGTCGTTCCGATACCCGTCTACAGAACAGTTGGCATTCTCCAGAGGATGAGGTTTGAACAAATGCAGAAGGAAGAGGAGGGTTTACAGGGCAGACTTGAGCTGGAAGAGGAGCAAAAAAGAACAGAAGAGGAAGAAGCGAGGGAGAAAGAGGAAGCAAGACAGAGAGAACTGGAGAGAGAAAGGTTAGAGGAAGAGAGAAGAGAAATGGAAAGACTAAGAGAAGAAAAGATTGAAAAAGAAAGGCAAATGGAGCTGCTAAGACAGAAAGAGTTAGAGGAGGAAATAGAGAGGGAAAGGTTGAGGCTGGAAGAGGAGGAATCTACAATGAGGCAGGAAAGAGAGAGACAGATGCAAAGGGAAGAGGAGGAGAGACGCAAGAAACAGAAACTGGAAAAGGAAGAAAGAGAGCAGGAGTTAGAGCTGATGAAGAGGAAAAAACAGGAGGAGGAGGAGAGACTCAGACAAAAGCAGCTGGAAAATCAAAAGTTAAGACAGGAGGAAGAGGAAAGGGAGAAGATTAGGAAACTGAAAGAGGAGGAGGAGATAAACAGAAGGAAACTTGAGGAGCAAAGATTGAAGGAGTTGGATCTGATTAGGCAGAGGAAGGAGGAAGAGGAGGAGGAGAGACTAAGGCAAGAAGAGCTCGAAAAAGAAGAGTTAAGACAGGAGGAAGAGGAGAAGGCCAGGAAGCTGAAAGAGGAAGAGGAGATAAAAAGAAGGAAGCTTGAGGAGCAAAGAAAGAAGCAGTGGGAGTTGATGATGCTGAGAAAGGAAAAGGAGGAGGAGATAGAGAGGCTTAGGAAGCAAGAGGAGGAGGAGAGAAATAGAAGAGAACTTGAGGAAAAGCAAATGAAGGAGTCGGAGATAATGAGACAGAGACAGGAAGAGGAGGAGAGACTCAGACAGGAAGAGCTGGAAGAACAGAAGTTAAGAAAGGAGGCTGAGGAGGAGAGGATCAGGAGGCTGGAAGAGGAGCAGAGGCTGAAACGGGAGGATGAGGAGAGAAAACGAAGAGAGCTGGAGAGGAAGATGCATCAAGAAAAAGAGGAAGAAAGGAAAAGGGCAGAGGATAGAAAGATACAGATAGAAAAAGAGAGGGCAGAAGAACTGAGGAGAAAGATGCAAGAGGACCTGGAAAGACAACAAGCAGAGGAGCAGAGTAAAAGGCTGAGAACAGAGGAAGAGAATGAAAAGGGGGCAGAAAATCTCATCAATTTTGGCACAGAAGATTTGTCTCAAAAATCCGAGCCCCCGTTCTCCCCCTCATCAAACACCTCCGAGAACACAGAGTCCCTCATCGACATCGTCTACGATGACTTCTCAGTCCAGAACCCTCTGCTCGACGTTGTCTACGACGACTTTTCTGTCAAACCTAAAAGATGGACTCCTCAGCCTAGGCTGGAAACTGCTCCCGTCAGCGCCTGGACGGCCAAACCTTTGAATGATAACGCGCTGGTCTCCTTCGACACTGAACCATTGGAACCTCTGAGAGAATATGAACCGCAGAAGGTCGACAAACAGCTGGTGTCCAGTCCAACCCAGGAGAGCCCAGAGAATGAAATGATAGAGGGGTTGTTGGTGGACATAGGTGGGGATGAGGAGGTAGAGAGGCCCATGGAGGAACAGATCAAGTCCATAGAGATAATGACGGAGGAGGATGAGAAAGAAGAAGAAGAAGAAGAGGAGGAGGAAGAAGAGGAGGAGGAAGAGGAAGCAGAGGAGGAAAACATTAAGACTGAAGCAGAAATGGAACTTGATGTTGAAGAAGACAACGAGGTAATCAGTAAACCTTATTTCTTTTTAACCAACAAGTACTAGAGAAATTAAAATATGTGCAAAAAAACTTGAAATTTTTCAGTTTTTACTGTAGGAGCAGAATATCACTGATAAATGTCAACAATTCAACCATTGGTTTAGATCTGTTTGTTCTTTGGAGATGAAATATCATAAACAACATCTTGGCATCAGTAAGTCTCCATAGCAACCATTAGACACCATCTACATGCTAATGAGTAGTCTGGGAAAGATCTAAGGAAGGTAGAACCTTTATGTAACATCACAAAAGTAAACATAAAGATTACTCTTCCCTTGTAGGACTTTAGGTGGAACCATTTACTTTGGTCAGATTTAACACTAGAATCTCAGACACTCCAGGAGGGATCGGAAGGTAAAGGACGATGAATAATTGGAAAAAGTGTATGAAAAAGTATGTTGGGGATCTGTGATGCTTTGGGCCTGTTTCTCCTCTAAAGACTCTGGGTTGTTGCAGTTCACAGTATCCTAAAGAGTTTAAAAATACATAAAAGTGTAGTGGTGTCTACCATAAAAATAGAGAATATATATGCTCCAAAGTAGTGAAATGTTAAAGGAGACTAATGTGCCACTGAGGTTTTTATATAAAACCATTATTTCTTCACATTGCATATATACATTTACTCAAATCAAAGGCTGGATTTTTCAGTGTTCGAACATACTACTGGAACTAAATATCTGCTTACATTAAGGCTTTTTACATATTTTTGTAAACAAAGAGTTTCAAGTTGTTTTGTTATGTCAAACCATTTGATTCGAGGACGAAATTCAAACCAGAATTATCATGATAAGCATGTAGTAAAAAGTGTATCCCTTTTCTTGCACCGGCTAGATGAAATACAGGACTTTACTGCATAGTGGAAAAGTTTTTTCTCTGTCCTGCACCTGGAATGGATGGATATCAGCTGTTTGACCTGTTCACTGTTAACAGAGCCACCTTTGGAGCTAGTTTACCATCACCTTTTCTAAATATGAAAGTATGAATCAGTGCTTCTATGTTCCTCTTGTGTGTCTGCCTTCTGTCTCCTTTAACCCCAGCAGAAGGCCGCTCACACTGAGCCCGGTTCTGCTGGAGGTTTCTTCCTGTTTTTCCTCTCCACTGTTGCTGCATGCATTTCAATGTGAACGACAAAATGCAAGCGAATGTCTACCATAGCCTGATCCAGGAAGAGCGAATCCTACAAAGTCAAAGAATGGATGCAATAAGCTGTTTTTTTTTTTTCCTTAGATAGAAAACTTTTACCTGACTGGATGATGTTATCGAATTGTCTCCGTAAAATTCCCCGATGCTGTGAGATAATTTTCCTCCTGCCTTACTTATACACGTAGCTGCTACACTAAAAGTCTTCAGCTTGCCCTTGTTGCCTTTGTTCATTTAAACCACACAGCACATGACTCAGTTCAACTGGAAGTCATGCAAATTATCCCATCCTGACTTGAACTCACCGATATGTGGTGTTCTAAAAATAAACAAAAAAAAGTCTTAATTTTAGCAGCAGAACTGATCGTTGACATTTGCATAGCCAAGATGTATAGCATGACAAAAGATGACCTAGATCTCTTAAATATGCATTGATGAAGAAAATGTTGCGGCTAGAATCAAAAGACCTGTTTATGGTCAATCAGTGCTAAGCACTTGTTCCAGCCTTTACCAGTTTTTCTTCTCTTCATGTTGTGGGAAGAAAAAAAACTTCACCAAACTGCTTCAGAATCTAAAAGAAGTTCCCTGCCTACAGCATGATTAATTGTTTAATAATGAAGAAAGGGTGAGGTTGAGAGTAGAAACAGCAGATGTGGTTGTTTCACCGCTGAATTATGTCAACCTGGCAGTCTCACAGACACACACCTTTACCTGCAGATACTCTGTCATTCCTGTTGCACAAGAAAAAAAAAATACTTGTTATTCTTGCTTGAACATGACTGAGCGAAAGAAGCTGCAGCATCCGAGGCGTGCTGCCGTTTGTACTTATGAGGTTAAGTAGTGATCAGTACTAGTTGTGCTTTATGGTTCAGGTTATTGTCTAGGAACACAGTACCGATAAGTGGAATTTACCCTGAGGAAATGTGTTTGTGTCAGGGTGTAAATGTGACTGATATATGGAAGCTGTGTTGCATGAAATTGCCTGTATTGATATCTTCTGCTGTGAAACAGGAATTCGTTTTATAGATGGAAGTCAAGGTTGGCTGGGAATTGAAGTTTTTACTCACAGTTACAAGCAGTAATTGTTACTCTTAAGCTACAAGAGGCTATTGAATATGTGTACTCATCCCTGATTAAATGCTTTTGGAAGAAACTATACTGTCACATTCAGTGAATCAGAGAATTATTGAAAAGTTGATTTATTTAAGTAACTAAATTTAATTTGTAAAACACATATTTTTGTATTTTATGAAGACGGAGGTTTGTAAGCTCTTATTTTTTGTTAATTAGTATGATTTTCCACTTACAGCTAATGAAAATATGGTGTTAAATATCAGAATATTGAATAAGACCCCAAAAAATACAATAATGTTCTTATAATAATAACAAGCGTGCTTAATAATAGAATAATAGACAGATTTATTTAGTCATTTTGTATACACAAGTGGAAACAAAAAGACATTTCTTTAAGAACAGCTCTCTAGACGATTTCATTTTTTGTAAAGTGCAGCCTTGTAAACAGTAAAAAATACATAAAAAAAGGTAATATAAACATATATAGACTGTATATTTACAGTTCTAACATTTCAGTTTTTTATTATAATAAAATATAACACATATAATAAAATGTAACAAAATGCAACAGATTAAAAATTTTATTTTTCTAAAGCAATGACAAAAAAGCCTCACCTTAAACCATATTCTAATTCAAAAGGTGTGACGTATAGTGTGACTTTTATTTAGTATAATCCAACTGACACCCAGTCTTCTTGAGTTCACACCTGCCATCTTTTATAGTGAATCATACCAACCGTCTTGGTAGATGTTTCAGTCATTTCCACTTATATAGGTCTTAAAGACACAGAAGTTCAATCTGATGATTAAAAATAATACTGCTTGTTTTCCCTGTTTATTTTAGTCATTTTAATCAATTTCCATATTGTTTTTAGTCAAAAGCTAATTTTGGTTTCTTGGTATCAGTCCAACAAATATACTTTTGCTCTTTCTATTTTCCTCCTCCCCCACAAATCTGGGGTGCATGGCTGTTTATGTTTCCATACAGGCAGTAATATCACTTCCAAATTGATTTAATCACCTAGAAGTGCTAACGTCTGTAAAATGTGCTTATACCATTTAGGAGCTAATACCATTTAGATTGATTGTAATTTAGTAGGCAGGCCTCATATTACTTTGGTTATTATCCTGATTGGAAATATATCAACTTCAACCTTTTGTTGTGCTATTAAACACATTATCACATGCAACGCATCTTGAGAAATAGAGATATTTTTTGCTAAAATAGCTTTCTGTCACTAAGGCTAGTGACTTATTTGTATAAATCATAATACTATTAGTATAACAAAGCATTGAAAGTCTGTTTTTATTTTGAGATTTTGAGTCAAAAAGCCTTTAATCAATATGTGACATCACATCACCCCACTGATGAGCGTGTGGGAAAATGTGGAAAAAATAATAAAAAAATATGTGGAAAAATGGAACAGATTTAGTTTGGAGGGAAAAAAAGGTTGTGAGTTAAATTCCTTCTCAGCATGCTTTTTCCCAATCTCTTTACTGATCTGATTGCCATCCATCAGCCAATCCTTCTTTTGCTTTCAACATGAAAGCAGATGTGATGATAGTTTGTTAATAAAAACAAAATAAAACCTTATGCATGTTCAGTCATGTTTATCTAACCTCTTAACTTCAGCCATGCTAAAAAAAAAAAAAAAAAAATAGGGGTTTTAACCTGTTTAGTTCAAACCAGGAAATCTTCCTTCTTTCAGTAATGAAAATCCTTCCATCCTGTATTTCTGCAACTGATATCTGGCCTATTTATAGCTTTTATGTTAGAGATTAGATGTTGTGCTTCTTGTTGGAGATCATTTTTGTATTTGCAATGAAAAGCGCTGATCTAGATTTAATTTTAAAACCATAGCCATCGGACCATGTCTGACCTAATAAACGGCTGAGCCATCTGCTAAACAATGTACCACGGTTACTTTAAGTTTATGAGTAAATAGCAGTTTAGGTGCAAAGCTTAGGTTGAAATTTCTTACGTCTTGTAAACATGCTAGTAGTAAATGTTTACGGGGAGTGGTAACTCTTCATCTTAGAAAAGACCAGGCAGTATTTTTAATCAGCCCTAGTGTCAAAAAGTAAACACATGTAATTATTAAGGCATATTAAGGCTATAAATCTTCAGTCCCCATGGTTTATTGCCCTTTTAACAGGACGCAATGTAGGAGCTTGAGTTTTCTAAGGCTGTATGGTAATTTAAGTAATACAGAACGCCCTTTCCCCCACATGTTGCTGTACACCAGTCAAAAAATTAAAAATATAATATAATAAATATCAGATACTATTCCAGTCAGAAAAACAAAAAATTAAGCTGTAGGCTCTATTGGTGGTGCTCTATTAGGAGCAGAACAAAGAAATTTGAGTAAAATTCTACATTTTAACCAGAAAAAGGTTTCTCAACTTAGCAGTTGATTATTTAGAATGTGGCTCAGTTTATATGTAAGAATGTAAATAAATTAAACAAGAGTAATAGATAGCACTTTTAAAACGGTAACATATTGTAGTGAAAGTCATATTGCCTGTTTCAGAAAAAAATAATCAATTAGAATTTTGGTTGTTATAAATCGGCAGTATGGTGGCACAGCTTTTAGTTCTGTTTCCCTGCAGCAAGAAGATTCTTGGTTTGAATCCTGGCCTAAAATATTTCTGCATGGTGTTTCCATGTTCCTCATGTGCTTGCATGTGTTTTTGCCTCATATTTTGCTGAAGATAACCAATTCTTACTCCTCCCGCAGTGCTAAAACATGGGTGATGCTTGCTGACCCTAGATTGCTCATTCGTGTGACTATGTGTGCACGCGGTTTCCTATTCTGTGTGTTTCTGTGTTGCTCTGCAATAGACTGAGAACCTGTCGGTTTTACCGTGCTTATGGATGACAG